CTCCAAAACCCAGGGTGTTTAATTAAAATAACCTCTTTCAGGGGGAAAAAAGGAAACCCCTTGCTGGAGCCTGCCTGCCACCGCAGAGCCTGGCATGGCCAGGGTGTTGGGTGCCAAGGCTCTGCCTCTCCTCGGGGCAGGGGTGACCCCAACCTCCACAGCACTTGCAGGGCAGGCACCAATGATTACATCATTTTACAGAAAAGGAACAAGGTGCCTTATTTTTGCATTTGCAACCACGCACTCGCTGCCTTCCCGGCGGCAACCGAGCCTCCTCCCCATCCTGCAGCCTCCTTGCTCCATCGCAGCTCCACCATGCCGCCCTGAGGGCTTCTTCTAAGGGCTTTCACACCACCTCTGCTAAGCCTACAAGCCAAAGAGCAGTGAAACTGTCCGCTTTGCCTCCATCCGTTGGGTTTTGACCGCAGCAACGCCGCTCTGAATTAAAACAACCATGGGCAAGCTCACCTCCGTGCGCTGGATGGACATCAGCTCCATCTCATGGCACAGCTCCGCAGCAGAGGACCCACCCCAGGAGAGGACCTCCCAGTCTGAAGGCCCAGCGGAGTGAGGTCCGCACGGATGGGCCCACTGCCCTGTGGAGCCCAAGCAGGATGCTCGGCGAGATCTTCCCCCCGCTGACCTCCACGCTGCCCAGGAGATGTCGGTGGCCCCTTCTCCTCCTTCCCCAGCGAGCAACCATGCGCGGGGACGCTTCAGGGCTCCGACGCTCAAACTGCCCGACTCAAACTAATCAAAAAAAAAACCAAACTTTTGCAGGACGGACAAAGGCTGAAAAATTTAACTGCCTGGCCTCTTCCTCCGCTGCGTTTATTGCTGTCTTGGCAGATGAATTTCAGGTTGCTGCCACAGCCGCAAACCGCTTGTTCTGCCAACTGTACATTACTAACACTGGAAGGTGGCCAGACCTAGGAATCTTTGCTAAAAGCATTTGCTTCATACTTTAAATAGCAGCCCAGCAGGCAGGGGGAGGGGAGGGAGGGCTCAGCCCCTGCGTGCGATCCCATCTGCGGGCTTCTGCCGGCTCCTCCGCCCCTTTGCGGGTTAAAACCGAGGACGACCCGCGGCGGAGGGGCAGGGGGGAGAGAGCCGGTGGGATGCAACCTCCAAACCCTCCCGGGCCGGCAGCAGGGATGAGCCCACCCCGGGACGTCCCCGCTGCCCCGGCGCTGTCATCTGCCCCTTCCCAAGGTCCCTGGCTCCATGCATGGCACATTATTAATTAAATTCATAACAGAACGTTGGCTGTTTTTGCACTGAAATCTGCTCTGCTGCGAGGTTTAGCATCATGTTCCCCAGGGCTGCGCGGTTTTGCTCCTTACCGGGCAGAACAGTGTCATTTGCCGGGTCTTCTACTGGAGAGAGTCCAGCGGAGGGCTACAAGGATGAGGAGGGGACTGGAGCATCTCTCCTATGAGGAGAGGCTGAGGGAGCTGGGCTTGTTCAGCCTGGAGAAGGCTGAGAGGGGACCTTAGAAATGCCTCTAAATATCTGCA